TATTATAATTATACAGGTGGCATGGATCATGTCAGAGTTCATCCGAAGTTTCTGCATTCTAATGCCACAAGTCACAAGTGGGCACTGGAGGTAAAATGGCACGTTTTTATGAATGTTCAGTCACAGGAATGACATGCTTGTGCCTCTCAAATGTTTGGTGAAATAAAAGATTTTTTTTGTCTTGGACTTCAGTATTTTTATGGTTATTGGTTGGTGATTGTTATTTGTGCTAACATCTTTTTTTTTTTTTTTGGGCAGCTTTTGCTGAACTTTTGGATAACTCATTGGATGAGGTATGATACACTGTTTGTTATAATATTGAGTGGGATACTGCTTGCTATAATTTCACTTATTTACTTATTTTGAGTCAGGTTTGTAACGGGGCTACTTATGTCAACGTTGATATGGTGATAAATAAAAAAGATGGTACAAGGATGCTGCTGATTGAAGGTATTTCCATTCTTTCTAAAAAAATTTCTATAGTATCTGAATTTTCAATTTTTCATTTATAGAGCTATAGAAAGGAAAAGTAAAATGTGGAGGGGTGAATTAGATGAGCTCGCCTGGCCTCTCCACACCTAAATTCAAGTTGCCTACTTTTGTCACCTATACTGTTGCCTAGTTCTTACTCTTTCCATTGAAGTTAAAGAGGAATGTATGAGGTGAGCAGAGTGACACTTTTTGAATTACATGTTGGCTAAGTGGATTGCCTATAATTAAAATGAAATTGGAACAGAATAATAGTAGTTATGATGGGTAGCTATAATAGGAGGGGAGAAAGAAGAGGACCGATGGAAGCATCCTTGTTTGTATGAGAACTTCCATGCTTTGGACTCCATAAAAGCAGAACCGCTAACTTATAATTTAGAAGCTGGAGTACTAATGATTCCATAATATTTATATATAAAAAAGAAAAAATGGCGCAAGCAGCTTATAAGGAGAAGGTTCTGGAATTTGATGAGGGATTAGATGTGCTTGAAGTCCTAAGTGAAGAATTGCTAGCTGCTTGAATCAAGATTTTAGGAACTTGTTCAATTTTTGTTGCTTTCAAATGAAAACTCATGACCTTTACTACCAAACAATGGGTCCCTTGTTTCATTCCATCTCCCCACCTTTTCTTTATATGTTTATTTTTCGACAAATTATATACCCTACAGGTAGGATTGATGTGTTTGCAACTTCAGATGTTTGAGTCGTAGTAATGTCGTTGTCATTTATGCTTATTCCATCTCATTATCAATTTCCTTTTCCCTTCCCGCATAAAGCTACATGGCGATCTTTCTTTTGGCAATCTGTTTTTGTTATGTTATTATTATTACCGCTTTTCCAGATAATGGAGGTGGAATGGATCCGGATAAAATGCGTCAATGCATGTCACTGGGTTACTACTGTGAAAAGCAAATTATCAAATACCATTGGGCAATGTAAAGTGTTAAGTCCCTTGTCTACATACAAAAATTTAACTCATTGCATATTATATTGAAGTGGGCTTGCTGATCCTTTACTGTTGATGTGATAGACGGAAATGGTTTTAAAACGAGTACCATGAGACTTGGGGCTGATGTAATTGTGTTCTCACGCTATCCGGGGAGAGATGGAAAGAGGTTGGTTTGATTTCTTATTGCTTTCCCCTTACAAATTAAGAATGAGAAAAACACGATCATAAAATGTGATCATTGAATTATGTTCTGTATGACATTTTTTCCCCCCACTGCAACTACTCTGTTGGTTGCTTTATTGCTGGTGCAATCATTGGCCTGTTGGTCAGATTTAATGTTTATACTTCAAACATCAATTCTTTTCTATCAAAAATGAACAACTTCAGTGTTTATTCTTCTTGTTAGTTTTTTATACTGTCTCTTATAGTTTATTGTCTTCATTATTGATCATGGTGCCTTCGTAACTGTGTGACATGGTTGTTGTTGTTAGCTCTACACAAAGTATTGGCTTGCTGTCCTACACGTTTTTGAGGTGTACAGGGAAGGAAGACATTGTAGTACCCATGGTAATTTTTCGTACTTACTATAAATTTTACGTTTTAGATAAGACTCAAGATGTATAACTCATATTTGTTGATTTGCGTTTCACTTTAATCTAAGACATTGTAGTAGCAATTACTTATTATTTTCCATTGCATCTTACCGTTGTTTTTTGTGCCGTGTGAACTGAAAGCTTGATTATGAAAGAGAAGGTCAGGGCTGGAATAGGATAATACGATCTTCTTTGGCAGATTGGACTAAAAATGTTGAAACAATAGTTCGATGGTCACCTTTCCCAGTGAAGATGATCTTCTTCGGCAGGTAATCAATTGATACTTCGGGAAAACGTTTAATCGTGATACATATGAAAAGATGCCTGTGTAATGGACACTTAATCTCACAATATCTCATCATAGGAAGTGATTTTCGTTGATCTAACCGTCGAATTAGAAATAATTATCATATTGGTCATGTTATAGGATTTTAGAAAGAAGTTGGCGACAAGAAGTATATAATTGGCCAGATAATATCCTCTTTATATCTGGAAAGCACACTGTACGTTTTGTGTTTTACTTTTTAAATATGTTGATAGAGTATCTAGCAATGTTGGATTGATGTAAAATTTTTTGACTTTGATCTTCATGATTGAAACATGTAATGCAACTGTACATATATATATATATATATATATACAGTTTTGCACACAATGTACGTAAGCATGTATTTCATTCACTTCTTTTTTCTTTTTGGTTTGTCCTATTCTACTGGTTCATTTTCTGGTTTTGAGCAGTTAGTTATTGACGATGAATGAGCCATCATTTATTCCTCTAAGGATGAATAACTTTGTTAGCTTTGCTCTTTGCAGTTTAATATGATGAAAGGTCAGGGAACACGAATAATCATATACAACCTTTGGGAGGATGACCAAGGTCAACTGGAACTTGATTTTGATGCAGATCCGCATGTATGACTATGATATTGGCAACCCCATTACCCACCACAAAAAGGGGAAAACAATCCTTGCATATATAAGCAAGCTTCATGAAATATTAATATTAGTATTCTTAATTTTTCTTAATTATATATGGCAGGATATTCAAATCAGAGGAGTGAACCGGGAGGAGAAACACATACAGATGGCTAAAGAGTTTCCCAACTCTAGGCACTTCCTCACATATCGACATTCGTTAAGGGTTCGTTATATTTTTTATTAAGTGTACAAGAGAGATTGTCATATTTTTCTTACTATTTTTCTATCTGTATCCAGAGTTATGCCTCAATTTTATATCTGAGGCTTCGTCCAGGCTTCAGAATTATTCTTCGTGGGAAAGATGTTGTGCATCACAATATTGTGAACGATATGATGATGTCTCAGGAGGTTACATACAGGCCACAAGCAGGCGTGGATGGGGCTCCAAAGGATTTAAATGTAACATGCCTGTTGAACATTTGTTTTTATTTTTATGACGTCATCTGCACAATTTCATTTAGATCTTGTTACAGATGGTTGCTGTTGTGACTATCGGATTTGTCAAGGATGCAGTTCATCATATTGATGTTTCTGGTTTCAATGTTTATCATAAGAATCGACTCATAAAGGTAGTGTTATTCATGGTTGACGAAGATTGTGGACAAAATTATAAAGCATTTTATTTTGTATGTGGTTCCGTTATTTTAGAATATACATAAACCTCTTTTCAAACAAAAAGATACCCTACACTCTAGTCTCATTCTAATTCTCTCTCTCTCTCTCTCTAAAGCCTGAACAACTCTCTTTTTTGTTTTCAAAATATGTGTTTAGGTTAGTGGAGGGTATTTTAGTAGAAATTTTCAAAATCAGCTGAGATTGCATGGTAAATTTTTGTTTTAGGGGAGGTCTATGTATATCGTAAACTAGTGGAGAGTGCTGTGTAATTTCAACAAAATTTAGGGGGTTTGTGTAATTTATTCTTTTTTTAAAGAAATTAAGTGAATCATTATATCTTGTAAGATTAGAAATGTTGATTTATTTATATATTTCTGAGAATAAAATCAAGGCTTCTGTATGATTTAGAAGTGTACATTTTCTGCTTCATCATTCATGATAAATGAACAAAGATCGACTGTTGTCTGTAGTGGGTAGCTGGGACTTAAATAGTAGCAGTGTTTCTGGAGGACTCTAGATTGTCAATAAAATTTGGTCTCACAGATGGTTTTGATTTATTTCAGCCCTTCTGGAGGATTTGGAATCCTGCAGGAAGTGGTGGGCGAGGGGTCATAGGTGGGTTGTTTTGTCTTCTTCTTTTTACCTCTGCCAAATTGGCCGTGTTTCATTCTGACAAGTTTTGCACCATACAAACGCAGGAGTTTTAGAAGCTAACTTTGTGGAGCCAGCTCATGATAAGCAAGGCTTTGAGCGTACAATAGTTCTATCAAGACTAGAGTCGCGACTGGTACAAATGCAGAAGAGTTATTGGTAATTCTTGTTTCTCCATGCAAATGAGTTTTTTTTTTTTTAAATGGTTGCTTATATAGTCATGGCTCTCTATTTTTTTTAAAATAACTTAAATCTTTTTCATTCTTCTCTGGTTAGGCACTCAAACCGCGAGAAAATTGGTTATGCTCCTAATTGTAGCAAGAACTTACGAGCTGAGAGGGCAGATAGAGGTCAGTTATGAGGTCTTGCTTTTGCTTTATTTATGTACTTGATGGAGGTCTTGGTTTTAGCTTTGATTGCGTAATTGTTGCTAATCCTTTTTGTTTTTGGAAAGGACAAACTCGTGAACTTTTACTTCTATACTTTGTTTTGCAGAGACATCTCCTGATTATACTCCGGGATCATCACATTTTAAGAGGAAATACTCTGCTTCAAGCCGCAAAGCAACACCAAATATTGATAAGTTAGCCTCTTCTAAAAGAATTGGAAGGAAACAAAGTTCATACGAACTGGCAACGTCTGAAGAGGATGATAATGATGAAGATTATGTTGTTGACCCCAAGAAACGAGCAACTGAAGACAAGCAGAAGACATTTCAGGCCGAGAAATCTCTAGGTGAGGACAGTTTTCTCCAAGATATCACATTAAGCGGAAGAACCTTGAAGTCCCCAAGAGGATCCAAGCCAAAGGTGATGCATTTTCCCTGTATAAGCATGATTGTCTACCTATTTGCTTAATCTCAATGTCTAATAAGAAGCATTCCTTGTTCGTTTTTGTTGATGTTATTTGCATACAATATGGTGGAAGTGGTTGAATTCATCATTTTGGATATTTTGGTTTGACTGGTAAAACTCAAAATTGTGCGTATGGTGGTTGAATTGCAGGGGAATGATGTTAGTGAAGCCCGTTGTCCAATTTCTGATCCTGATATATGCACTTTGGAGCAGTTGAAAGAAGAGAATCGGGACTTGAAGGAAAGGTATATGTTGTACTTGTTGCTCGCTGGCTGTTTGGGTTGCTTTGTTGGACTTGATTCTTATAATTTGCGATTCTTGCGTTGTAGATTAAGCGGGATGGAGGAAGAAATTATTGGAGAATTAAGGCGGGATTTGCAGCATGAAAGGGACAAGTGCAAATCTCTTGAAGCTCAGGTTTAAAATGCGACTACTTATTTTCTATTATGGAAAGAAAGAAAATTGATCAGATTGATGATCAGTCTGTTGTAGTTTCACGTGATGACAATGCTCTTCTTTTAGCTTATATGTAATTGAACTGGATTGTTGCCTATTATAACTTCTGCATGTATATACTTTAGTTCTGAATTATCTTTCTTTTAGGTTTGCTCATACTTTTGTTACTTTCATCATTGCTGTGCTAAGGAGGATATCTGCGATCTAATTCATGGTCGAAGTGAATTAAGTTAGAAAGGATATTTTTTTTCTCCCTAAATTGGAATGGAATTTGAGGAGTCGGGGAGTGTGTGCCTTAACTAGTTATCTAGCTAGTAAAATTATAAAGTTGCTGACTCCTTTTGTCGAGGATCACTTAAATCCAGTAGCATAAGCTTTTAGGTGAAAACGTTGACTTTATTAATATTTCTGGCACATTCTGCATATTTCTTATCATCTCTTGAACATTATATTACCAGCTCCGGGCTGCTGAGAAGACGATTGAAGAATTGAACAAGGAACAAGAAACTATAATTGATGTATTCACCGAAGAAAGGGATCGACGAGATGCTGAGGAGAAAAAATTGCGGAAGAAGTTACAGGTTTAACTTCCCACTCTTCCCTCCAAAATTGGAGTGTAAAAGGAGATTTAGCTGTTTGTCTGTTTTTATCCAGGAAAAAGAAACATCCTAATTCTATATGATGATATCTTGTTTAACCTGTCTTTCCACTGTAGGAAGCATCTGATACCATCGAAGAACTCCGTGACAAGGTAAGGCTGCAAGAGAAGAGGCTTTCAAGTGGGAAGCTAGGACGGTGAGAACGTGAGATCATGGTTTCTGAATTCTGACTACGAGGCTCCTGACACGTATTACTAATTTTGTCCATCAATTTCATTGGCTGCCTATGGGCTGGTCCATCGTATATAGACTGCCGGATCTTGCTTACCAAACGTTGGAGGGGTCGTATCATGTGCGGCCAGTTTTGAGCTGTATAGTTGATGGTGCTTACTGATCTAGATTCTGTATATATGGCAATAGCATGTGATTGATTGTTGCTCCCTTGGCCGTGTCTTGATGAACAGTCATTTAGTGTGGTAAATGGTGCCTTGTTCTTTAGTGTATGTAATGCATTTTGTGGTCCAAAGGGAAGTCTAGCATTTCTTTGTGCAGAATTGGGATTTCAGTTCACGACCTTTAGCCCACATTTTAACTCTTTGCTGAGAATATTACTAGTAGGAGACTGTTTTAAGAATGTTGGGCTTTATCGTAGGCATCTTGCATCTTGCATCTTTCATGCCCATGCGAGAGCCGGATTTTTTTTTTCGGCGAACTGAAAGCAGCATTGAAAAATCAATGCACGGTTGAGGCTGGTCCCCCTCCTCTATTTTTTTGTTTAAAAAAATAATTATTCATTACTTTGTAAAGTTGGCCTGAGAGGCTGGCGTTTAGGTAAACCAGTTTTCAAGCCCCCACGCTCTTTAAGATGCAATCTTTTCGTGATACATACTGTAATGATTATCTTATCTTAACAGCTCATGCATTTATTTTTGTGACGTGCATTATTAGTGGATAAAAGGGGGCAGAATTAAAGCCGCCTAGAAATCAAACTGCAATGTGCTGATTCCTGGTTTGATGTTATCATTATTTTCGTGGCCGCATGGGAAATTTTTTTTTTAAAAGAAAATTCTAATGCATGAATATTAAATCTTCCATTGTTTTAGTGTTGAATTTTTACGAGCGGGTATTATATGAGAGAGATTATTTGTCTCAGCAATTTATTTTCTTTTTTAAGGGAAGGATCTTATTTTTTGGAATTAATCTTAAAAATTTGAGGCCTTTTTAATGAAATGCTTGTTATGGTGATCTTTATGCGTGTAATGTATTGGTAACAAAAAGAAAACAATCTTTGTCACCAATAACATAAAAAGAAGAAAAAAATCCTTATGAGCAGCTGTCCAACAATAAATATGTGGCCCCTTCTTAATATTTTTAGTGATCCATTGGGTATGCGAGCATGGGCCCATTCCCATTGCATTCTCGCCAAGTAATTTCATTTATTGAAGGAATGTCCCTTTCCTATCTAAAAGAACACGGGCCTGCTAGTTCCAGAAAGGAAAAAAAATTGAAATTAACAATAATGTAACAATGTTTTAACAAAAATATATAATATTCATAGTCTTAGATTAAAATTGTAATAAAAGTCAAATTTATTACTCTTCCGGTCCCTAATATAAGATCTATTTAACTAATTTGATTAGATTAAGAAAATTAAGTAAGTTAGTTAATTATAAGAAATGTGACACGTTTTTCCTAAAACACCATAATCATCTTTCTTAACATACCCCTCTCTGTTCTACTTGATTATGGTTGAGGGAGTATCCATAGGGATAATTTAGAAAAAATTGATAAATATGAAAAATGAGTCTTATATTTAGAATCAAAACTAACTTAACAATTAGGTCTTATATTAAGGACCGGAGAAGTAAATAGTTATTACAAAAGCATAACAAAGTGGATGAGAAACGAAACAAAATGTCCATTCTCCCCCCCCCCCCTCTTTTAGCTTCGAACGCAGGCAGCCATAGCACTCCAATGCGAAGGATGCATATCTTGTGAGAGAACGCAAAGGGTAAAAGAGTCAAAATAAATAAATACACATATTTCCAACAAAATTTTGGTAAGCAGTCTCATAAAAATTAAACAGAAAAATACAAATTTGAATTTTCACAAAAAAAACAAATTTAAATTTTCATAAACGTATAATATTTAATTTTTAACACTTTTTACTTGAAATTAATCTCAAATTCAAAGTAACATGAGACTCTAAATTTATAATAATAAACATACATATTGCAAACACATTTTTTTTAAGAAACAATTTTTAAAGTTTGAGTGCCCGTGATCGATGTTGTGAGTAAGACAAAGCATGCTTCATTTACTTCTCATCTAAGCATATCACGCAACCTGGATGGGGCTCCTCTCAAATCAAAGATTGAGTAGCTCAGCTCCCATTTTATGTGTCCCCCTTATCGTCGCACAACCTGGAAGTTTAGCATTTAGTTCGGATCATCAGTCTTAAAAATTTCTGCTTGATATCGCCGAGTCTGACTCACATACAAAATTTGAGGAATTCTCAATCTGAAACCGTTTATGGAAATAAAACAAAAAATCTTGGCGTACGCCATAAATAACAGGAGCAGGGCGGTAGCATTCAATGAAGAAGCAGAGGTTTAGGTGAGTGGGGACATCTAGTGATAGGGAAGATGATATTTAAGGAACGTACGTAAACTTGAGCTCTGGGACGTGAATAGAAGATTTCAAACAGGGAATCCGCCCATAAAATGCAGTGAAAGGCGGCAACACCGGCAGTAGTAATGGCTTTAGAAGAAGACATAGAGGACATGAACAGCTCTGAGACAGAGATGTCCAAAATTCCTCTCATGAGAGCTTTCGTTGAGTCCAAGGATCCCTCTGCTAAGGTAATCGTTTGGCATCTTCCATTTTTCCGACAGCTTTGTTCCTTGATCTTCTCTAGCTGCCACCTCCACCTGTTTAGTTTTCATAAGATCATAAAGTTCATAGAAAATGGTAAAATACAGAAAAATAAAATGAAGTGCAAAATTGCTAGCAACACTAGCTGCTTCTTTTGATGACTTTCAGTTTTTTATTTTCAATGGTTAGATCTGTGAGACTAGTGAGAATAGAAATTTGCTTTGCTACGGACTCAGATCTCGAAGTGATTCTTCTGCTTCTCTGTCTTGAGGGTTTTGTGGTTTTGCTTTGCCTTCACATTCACCTTCGTTCCGTTTTGGACTGTGGACTATACCTGCAGCTTTCAACATCTTTAATGAACATGATTCTGAGAGAGTTTGTTCATTTTCTTACGTTGAGATCAAATGTTAATAATATTTCAGGAATATGATGATTTGACGATGAGAAGATTCTTGCGCGCTCGTGAACTAGATATAGAGAAGGCTTCAGAAATGTTCCTGGAGTTCTTGAAATGGAGGCGCTCATTTGTTCCAAATGGTTCTATTTCTCTATCAGAGGTTCCAAATGAACTTGCCCAGAACAAGATTTTCACGCAAGGACTCGATAAGAAAGGACGTCCTATAACAATTGTCTTTGGTGCTAGACACTTCCAAAACAAAGTCGGCGGTCTGGACGAATTCAAACGTTAGTTTTTGCTAAAATCCTTTAATCAGTTATAAATCTGACACCAGAATTCAGTTCTTACAAACTAAATTTGCGTCTACAGGGTTTGCAGTGTACTCTCTTGATAAACTTTGTTCAAGGTAATTCCTTTCCCTGTGTTGTTAAGATGCTGAACCAGTACTTAGAACTGTGAAAACAGCAGAAGTTTGTAACTTTTAAAAGTAAAATACCTTTTGGCGTGTCTCAGGATGCCACCAGGTGAAGAGAATTTCGTGGGTATAGGAGATCTTAAAGGATGGGGATACTCAAACTGTGATATTCGTGGTTATCTTGGCGCTCTAAAGATTTTGCAGGTGAAGTTGAAATCATTTTTCCCTCACACTCTTTGTGGGCAAGATAACAAGTAGTTCAAAAATACAGGAAAATTCTATTGAAGTGGGTATGTTAGTTGATCAAGAACTTGATCAGGAATCATATCTTAGTAGTTTCATGATGGGTTTCTTGTGGTTGCAGGATTATTACCCAGAACGGCTGGGGAAGTTATTCATTGTGAACGCACCCTCCATATTTATGGCAGCATGGAAGATTGTTTACCCTTTCATTGACAAGAAAACCAAGAAGAAGGTGACATTTTTTTCAAATTTGCATGTTATATGTTTTAAGGATATATTCTTATTGATTGAAGGATGTGTGCACAGATTGTGTTTGTGGAGAACAAGAAGTTGAAATCAAGATTGCTGGAAGATATAGAGGAGGATCAGCTCCCAGAGGTATACGGCGGGAAGATGCCATTAGTCCCCATCCAGAATTGCTAGTTAAATGAGCAATCTCAGTTTTTCCCCCCTTTTTCTTTGAGCAAACGCGCAATCATAAACACATTTCGTTCCCAGTATTTACTTACTTTTGCCAATTGCTTCTTCGTTTAGATAAATCTGTGCCGTGTCAGACGCTTTATGAGGATATGATATGATAGAGTTGTATAAAATGGCGGGTTCTTATATTTTAGCTGATAACAATGGAGGTTAGGCCCCGATCCCAATTCGCCGAACATGTAATACTACTCTAGTCTTATATATCTATATATATAAGGAGGGAACTTGATGGAGTAGGGAAAATGAGGGAACTTCCATGATCCGTCTTTAAGTTCAGAGGTACGAAAAGGAAAATGCATGTTTCAACAAGAAGTATGCACACTAAATAGGAAATCAATATAAATTAATCGATAACAATTTAAATGAAGCTTTTTTTGACAAAACCCAATTAAATAAATTCATTAATTGAATTCCGTGCAAACAAGGGTAGGTCACCTAACTGGCTAGAAGTTGGTTTGCAACAATCACATGGAAGTACTGTAAGGAGTCGAATTGTGAGAAATTCAAAGAGGCATGGCCCCTTTCCTCAGGGCTGAAACAACCGCCGCACAAATGAATGGATGCTTTTTCCCCGGGGCGGCTACCTCGTTCCTGCTCTGCCCAGGGCTCACCAGAAACTGACGTATGAGAACTGAAAAGAAAGCTCAAGAACCGCTGCTCCACCGACACTTTCCATAGCCGATTTTTTTTTCTCTCCACCTTTTAGCCTCTCTTAATTTTTTTGGAACAATCACTGCGAAGTTTCATGAGATATAATTATCAAGAAGTTTCATAACTACTAAGTAATATAAAATGACAAATTCTGATATTATTATTATTAGGGCTTTTTTTGTGATTACGTTACTTTCTTAAAAACTATTTGATTTTCCTTTTTTTTTCCTTAACAAATTTTTTCCCGAGGGTCTAAACCACTGAAAATTCCATGATTACACCTCTCTTTGGAGACTATGAACGTGTTTTGAATAGTTTATAAACAACTTTTTAATTATAATTTATAAAATACAAGATAAATAAATGAAATAAAAATATGCTTATAAATATTTTGAAACATGATTTCAAACAGGTCTTGTAACAAGTTAAACAACTCTAGATTTTAATATTTTATACAACAAGGGAATTTTGTGGGTCACCCATATAGAGGACCTGTTTGGCAAGCATCCCAAATCATGGTTTTGAGACCCAAACCATGATTTGAGAAAAATGTCAACCAAACGATCCCTAAAAATATGAAACCATGGTTTGGGGGCAAACCATGGTTTTGAACCCCCAAATCATGATTTTATCAGAAGCAAATCAGAGTTGCTTATTGGCTCCAATTATTGGAAGCTTACGGTGGGCCCATCACAGGTGACCAAATAGCCCCGACTCAAATAATTGCTCTTTCTTTCCTCCTTTGCTCAAATAATTGCACAACAAAATAATTCATCTTCTCCAAAAATATTTTTACTCTTATATTTTATGAATATATATACATGTGTTGACAATTAATTAATTAATTATATTAAACATCGGAGGTAGTATGTTATTACAAAAACTAGTTGTGAAAAAATGTTATGGGATTTCATATTTAAAATCTTTAAAGAAAATTAATATTTTTCTATTAGCAAAAAAAATCATTTTTCTATAAACATATTTAATATTATGTTTTATAAATATATATACACATTAATTATGTATTAATTATATTATCTTATATATTATTAATTGTTAGTAAAAATTATTTCATTAACAATTTTATTTCTTCAAATCAAAATATATTATAAAACCTATTTCTTATATAATTATCATATTAACTTATACCCTTTTTGGTAATTTCTACATGTAAAATATACTTCTAGTAACAACTATCCAAACACTCTCACTTCTCATAATCACTTTTTTACAAAATTTATTCTCCTTAGAATCTATTCTCCAGAAGTTATGCTTCAAACAACGATTTAGTTTCATCCAAACACTCCCTTGAGTATTAAAGATGGGCACACTCAAGTGGATGAAATAGTACTGCACGAGTAATTATGCAACAGCTAAGCGTCAACCCTAATCAATTCATTGGCAATGCCTAAGATCCGAGCGCACCAACTTGTTGGTCCTGATTAAAAATCCTATCCCATCGTAGAATTTAAACACTATGGGATTTCCATCGTTGGCGTAGTACAAAATTGTGCTCCGGGAGAAGAATGGAAAATTTCGTAATATTAACTTTGGATGGACAAACCAAGCCCAAATTCAAAACACACAAGAGGAAATGCCAACCCATACCTCACCATGCGTTCTTACAAGTGAGATAACAGGTTGGATGTGGCAAAAATAAACCCTTTTTCACAAAGCTTAACAGAGAATTTTTAACCCTTCATTCAGATCTGAAAAGGGCCTCGAAAATTGAAATTGCACAATGATCAATGAATGAGGAATTTTGATATGTACAGTCTTTACATGACTAGGGACTAGCGAGGTTGGATATTTCTGGCCCGCACGTAAGTTAAAAATTGCGTAGGTAGTTCTGCTAGTAGTGCTTGAACTACCGAGATCTCTCCATCTGCAAGAGGTGGGTAATTGTTCAGAGGGGGTTTATCAGCTAGTAGTACCATGCTAACATTTATATCGTACTTTGCAAACTGATACCTACTTTGGACATCCCGAAATGGAACAAATTGGACTATATCGCGTGAAGCAACCCGTCCAGATGAACTTTCAAGCCTCTCTCCCTTGTCAGCGTCTAAAATCTGCCCAAGGAATGGGAATTACCATTGAATATAAGAGTGAATTGCACACAATAAGCTTAACTAAGTTATATTTGCACCCTTCGTGTTTCAAAAATATCATCCGACTCTTTGACCTTTGATTTAAATTCGCAGAAACCTATATTTTTTGGTCAGTGAAATCAACTTTTTGTAGCATTAATGTAATTTTAAACTTCAAAATGAGATTATGACGCTATTTTTAATTTGGAAATTGAAGTATCTCCGCAATTTCATTTTTTTTAAAAGAATAAATATTTTTCCCTGAAGAAATAAATCTCATTAACAAGAAATAAACTAAATTTTTCGCAATATATATTAAATACCAGATTGAGTAATATTTTTTTAATATTTTTGAAAAGTATAAAAGGAATCAAGTACGATTTATCCGAACTTCAAGGTAAGTTATTGAGATTTATTAAAATACGGCAATATCAACTCCGCACGTAAATAGAAGAGAAGTTGGATCTAATACCTCCATTTCTTTGAAATCAGCTCCACCAACTCCAACAATAAGGATTGACAATGGTAGATCAGATGCTTTAACGAGAGCATCTTTTGTTTCTTGGAGATCTGTAACTACTCCATCCTGGGAGGATATCAATTAAATCTCAGAGGAGAAATGGAAAATCAACGGGGTGCGAAAATCATAAATTTTACCAAGCCCTAGAATAATATGGATGCATGTAATGCATGCAACAAGCATAACAATCAAATAAGCACCAAGTTATAATTCAAGTCACAGCAAATTCCACAGATAAATAAGCAAAAATATTATAGTTCTTACAGTGATAATTAACAAAACAAAATACTTTCGTCCACCATTTGAAAGAGATTGGCTGGCAATAAGAGCAGCAGTGCTTATGACCGGTCCAAAAAGAGTTGGCCCAGCAAGCGAAACATTAAAGAGGGCACTTGTATATGCCGCCATAATTCCTGGTATCCCTTCAACCTGCAATAGCCAGACATGAATAAATATTGAAGAACTACAACTATCACATTGTGGTGAAAAGCCCCCGGGGGGGGGGGAAGGGAAGATCAGGCTTTGCAGTTCAACCTCACAGTAATGGCTGCTTCCATTCAAGTTGAAACAATGAGAAACAGGACCATCAATTGGCCGTGCTCCAAAACCCCAAGTAGGAAATCTCCTGTCCGAATCGTAAAACTGCAACACGTCCCCAACCTCTAAAATCGCCTGATTAAAAACATTAATGGCTCACGGACCAAAAACAAGTAGAATAATGAGTCCAATTTGGAATCAAGAATCACTTCTCACCCTTTGGTATGCATTTGGCCGGCCTGAAGGATCTATATAATGTAAAGAATCAGGAAGACGTGGATTTCCATTTGAAGCTGATAAATGAGAGAAGGAAGTTAGACCTTAATATCATCTTGAATCTCACATAAGCAGAATGTCTAAAAGATATATAATTTTACACTGAAGATTGACTACACAAGGCAAACCCTATGCCGCAGCCTCAACATTAACCACATCACAGTTTTTACTAAGAGAAAAGTCATAAAAAAACTATTTTAATTTTGGGGGGGGGGGGGGGAGATTTCAGAAGCATGTCAACTTTTGTACCACTACTATACTACACAATGAAATTTGACACACGTGTATTGGCATGTGGAGTACCAGTGAAATCGACAGCCACCATGAAGTTCAATTCAAATCCTGCAGCCAAGTAATCAAGGAAAGTATATTGGACACTTTGATTAAGCCTGTCCACAAATAGTTGGCTCTTTAAGACCTGTATCATAGTTGAATCTTTTCAGGGAGAGGTATGAGCATTCAAGATTAAAATAATCCTGACTAACAATAGAACTTGTCATGATTAATGGATAGAAGTACTCAAGTGGAAATAGGCATGATTAATATTATAGACCTTGTTATGATAATTTTGTCCACCAGAAGTTGGCAAGAATAAACTTTCTCCTAGACCACCAGAATGAAGTTTTTCCAACTCTGCCAAAGATTTCTGCACTTTTCTGTTATTTGAGAATAAGCATCATTACCCTGCATTTTGTCCTAGGCACGTAGATAACAGATAGAGAAAGGATGGCTATGAAAGAGTATAGCTGATTACCCTATTAAATCATGTTTGCCATTGCTATTGAAGTTGTAGCATTCAATTATTAAAGGACTATCCTGTGTATCATAAGAGTGGAAAAAGAGAAAGTTCATATAATATAAAGTCAAATAAATGAATAAAATAATGAGGGTGTTTATGATCTAGTCCAAAATTTATGGTCATTTGTATGAGTCCTTGTGTTGCATGAACTTTAAGAATTAAGCCTACTTATTTATGACTCATGAATAGTACAGCTTATTACAAGTTTTTATATTATATATGGATATATAGAATAAGTCAAGTGCTGGCATATAATTATGACAAAAAA